CTGGATCTTTTACTTGCAAGGGGGGAGTGCTGCTTGCTCTACTGGCAGCTTCCTCATCAACTCCGAGTCGCTGCACCCTTCCTCTGCTCTTTTATTTAGTTTACAAAAGTATCAGATTGCATATCATGTGATCGTGTGTGAGTATATGAATGGGTATGGAGCAAGAAGGTGGGTGTGAATGGAGTGTGGCTGTGTCTGGTAATTTCTCCATCAGTCTTGAGCACACTAGATTATAATATGAGAAGCAAACAGTTTCTTAAAGCGACAGTACAGCATGAAGCAATGATAATAAATTAAATTCTTCCAACAATAGCAAGAATCTTTCATATGCTCCCAGGAATTGAAGAAAGACACAAGATCTTCAATAGCAAATAGTCACTTTTTTCAGTTTTATGGCTGTCTGCTACCACCTAGTGGAAGATCATTTAATTGTTCTTCCTGTAACTGTCTTACAGGCAAATTATTTCCATTAAATCAATAGTATATTTCAGACTAATTAAGAGAAATATGTTTTGGTAAAGTTATTCAAATGGTTTTAATAATCTAACGAATAATAAATAATTGCTCAGTTTTTGTTTTTCCTGACAGGATTGCAAGACGGCAAAATGCGTGTATGTAAAATGCCTCCTGAAGGATTTTAAAGATAAGAGTGACTACTTTGTTACGGTGAAAACACGGATCTGGAGTGGCACCTTTATTTCAGTAAGGAGATTTTCTCCTGATTTTTAATTCTATGATTACTGTCCTCTTGATCTATATACAGTATATATGTTATACTGATTTGATCACTTATTTTGTATTTACTTCCTGTAACAGGTCAGCTATCAGAGCCTGGAGCTGACCTCGAATGTTGAGATCGAAACTTCTAATGCTGATCTTGTTGTTATCGGCCTCAAAGAGCTTCTTGTAAAAACACACTTACTGCATTTACTGTGTATTATTGTTGTTGAATTAGTCAAGGACTGACAGTGTTCAGTGTTCAGCAGCTTTAACTTGTTAAAAGCTGCCAGAGCAATGTTTAACACCCAAAAAACTAAAATCCAAGTTTTTGATCTTTTAAAATATAAATTGTTTTCATTTTTCTCTGCTCTTTGTCCAGGTGGAGCTGACCATCAGTAAACCAGGAGCCAAGGGTGATGTTCCAGTCGGAGTGATCGTGGGCAACGTTATTGGTGGACTAGCGCTGTTAGCTGTGGCTCTTCTGTGGAAGGTAATACTTGGCTTCACTTCAGTGGACACATTGGCTTCACCTCAGTGGACACATTTAAAATATATTTATATTAATATTTATAATCTTACTATAAGTCATTTACTTCAAGTTATATAACACATGTTTATATACCCAATCCTGCAGAGGTCTCAAACTTCCGCCTCGTGGGACACTTTCAGCCCACAGATTTTCCACATCTGGCCCACACTAGAGCAATAATAATGTAGCTCTTCACTGAGCCGCACTGGCTAAGTGGGTAAACATGATGAAGCTGATAAAATACCTGGACCCTAAGTTACTTGTGGGTTAACTAAATGTTAGCACAGTATAAAATAGAATAAGGTTAAATATTGCTGTTGCATGTTTTTGTTCTAGTCTTGAGAAAAAGCACTGACATGCCAGAGCTAATATGAATATGAAGCCATGTCTTCAGTTTGTTTTTCAAAAAGTGGAAGTGACAAATCATTTCCTCAGCTCATTAAAAAATATGTAACAGATTTAGGCCTGAGTCAGAATTTCGACATATGTGTTTTGCTTCTTCTATGCAAATCATTTACAGTTATATTATATATACACTCACAAATATATGATAAAATAAAATTGTATTTATTATATAAAAATATTTTTAAAAGGCATAATCTTAATGATCTTACGAAATGGCTCTTAGAGGTTGCTTTTGTGATTTTTGTGATTTTTTTTTTATTTTTTTACTTTTCAGTTTGAATTTTTCAAAAGAAAGTACCAGCAGCTTCAAAGGGAGGCTGAAGGAGAGAGGCAGAGCAATGCACATGTTGATGAGGTGCTGTGACCTGCTGAGAAAAGGTCCTGCTCTTCCTGCTGTGCTCTGAACTCTGACCAAGGACTTTCTCCATTTCAGGGGAGGTGTTTCTACTGTCTTTGCTTCTGTAAACTGTACATTAACTGTTTGTTTAGCTGTTGTGCACTGAAGCTGAATGAATACAAAACTGTATTTTCTTGACGGAGACCTCACGTAAGTGAATAATGACTTTTGGGACCTATGTTTGCTACAAAACATAGGACAAAATATATTTTTACAACATGGGAGGTTAAAAATTGTCATAAAAAACTATTTTTCCAAAAATTATTTTTCAATAAAGCACTGTGAAAACTGCTTTAGCAAATACATGAGATCTGCTCTCAACTCTGGTGCTCAGGAAATGATGTCATTAGTAATTACTAATGAAGCAATAGTTTTCCAGATACGTTAGTATAGGATATAATAAGATATCAAACAGATGTGTTATTATTCCTTTTCTTTGTGTTTGCACTGTATATGTTGTAAAATAGATTTGAGATGTTTCTTATGGAGGTTTTATATCTTTCGTGTTCGTGGTTCATGACAAACTGTTTCTGTTAATAATCTTATGGTAAGGTTATATTGGTGGGTAACTTGTTTCCCTGTTTTAAAATTGCACATGTGCAGCTTTGCCATTTTAAACGAATAAATATTATTTTTTTAGATGCAGCAATGATCTTTCATTTGGGGGAAATCTACAAAAGTGAAAGTTCCATATTTCCTGCTGTTTCCTTGTTGTTGTTTTTTTTTAATGGTTTGAATCGACAGTTGGCGTCTTTAAATTTGTAACACCACCTCAAAACGGTTACAATTTTTTCAAGATTTAAATATTACACTATTTACGTCCAATTCCAAAATGTTTTGTTACTTTTTCTATTTATACGAATGTGTATTTTCACCATGTTACCACAAGATGGCAGCACGACACAGGTGTGACTTCGGGAGTGTTTGTGATTCCCATACTGCTCTGTTGATGAGTTGACCACTTACACATAACTCCGTTCATGTAACGACCCATTTGATTGTCTTCTCCTCTCTGACCTTAGTGGAAAAAAATCCACTGAAAACTGCTTCCCAAGCAGTGTTTTTAATTATTCCCTGAACTGCAATTAATTCCTTCTCACATTTTTCAACTGTTGCATTTCCCACAGTTAGCGGACTCCGTCCCCTGACTGTTCAGGAATGAGTTCCTGAATAGTTTGCCTCCTTAAAAAAAAGCCAACTCCTGACCCAAGCAAAATCTTTACTCTTCACTTCTTTGGATGTGTCCAGGTGGAATATGCTATTTGTCTCTAATAAGTAGCACATTTATTGGTTGCCTGGGCCGGGGCCTGCCTGTTGGAGGGAATATATAGATCTTGATAAATTATTGGACTGGTCTGTTACACAATTACTCATGCACTGCAAGGGTTGTGAAATAGCCCTTAGATGTGTGCACGGGGAGCAATGTGGAAATAGTTGATGAAATGAGATACAGTGGAAATGGCTATACACCTTTGTAATTCCATCCCCCTCTGTGGGCTCCTGCAGATGATTGGCAGCTAAAGCGAATCCCACTGACCTGTATCACTGCAGAATGATTGCTCACAAATTGCACCGCTGTTGTTGTGGATGTGAAATGATGTCATAAATTATTGAAAAAACAGTTGGACCTTTGCAACTTATACAGTGGAATTTCGAGATACGAGCATAATCCGTTCCATCTTAAGACTGGGAGACTCGGAGTTTGTGCTAATTATCAACCGTCATTAAACAGGGGCGACACGTGCTATGCTTTTATAGTGGAGCAGCAATAGTCAGATAAAATATTGCAAGATACAGTGGAACCTTGAGATACGAGCGTAGTCCGTTACAGGACCCAGCTCGTAACTCAAGGTGTTTGTATCTCGAATCCCGTACGTAAACACTTGATTCAGTAGCACAGTGGGGTTTTTTTTTTTTTTTTTTTCTGGGGACCCATATTTTAAAAGTCACAAACCTTCGCGAACCAAGTCAATAGACATTATTCGTAAACTCCTGGGAAACATGGTGCGAGATGACCCCCCCAAAAAAAACAACCTTGTGACCCACCTGAGGGTTGCGACCAAAATAGTAAATGTTTCCCACTTGGACATAAATGTGTTTTCCTTTTTCATTTCCAAGATGGATTTAATCTCAAGTGGTCCAGATTTATACCACACATAGGTGTGCAGACCATGTGGGCCAGAAGGTTCATATGTACCAGATATTAGTTGTGGGTTCTTTGGTTTTGTTGTATACAAACTATTAGCTTGGTGCAAAAGTATATACAGTTTTTTTTATGTGTGTATTATAATAGTTTGTTGATGAAGTTAATAGTACAAGTAAACTATAGAAGTAAAATGACTAGATGTCAGGTTGCGATAAAGACTCAACATTTGTACGTAGTTAAATGTTCTCCTTGAGAACACTCAGCTCTATATGAACTGACTTTTAACTGTTGTTTTATCAAGTTCCACACATTACAGTAAATGTGACCAGATGTGCTTGGGTCAAATATATAAATGATATATATGATATATTTTACTTGGACCTCGGCAAACGTTTACTTCATGAACCAGACGTACGTTCCTCCTGAGTGAATTCTTTAACGTTGACATTTCAAGCGTGCTCACTTCAGACACTGAGTTTCTTTCACTAAATCACTCAGCGTCTGCTGTCCGACTTGTCTTTGGAGTCTTTAGAGTTTCCAAATCAGTTCCTGACACAACAGTACTTTATTTTGCAGTACTGTATAAACTTTAAAGACCTGGACGCCGTCCTGCAGAGCCACTTACAGCCATTAGCAGAGGGACAGCACGTACTGCCTGTCCCAGACTGAACTGGATTTGATTCAGTCCCTTTCAGCCAAAGATCAGTATTATTTATTTTTTACAGCTGTCAGTCACATTTTTACTGGTTCTTTTGTGACAGTGATCCATCCGCAACAGTTTTGCACGAAACCACAAATATCTCACAATATTTTATGTGACTATTGCTGCTCCATTATGAAACCAGAGCATGTGGTTAACGACGGTTGATAATTAGCACAACCTCCGAAGCCATGCAATGTCCATTCCTAAAGGTTAACCAGAGAGAATTGGAGTCGAGCTTTAGGAACTACAGTGGAACCTCGAGATACGAGCGTCTCGAGATACGAGTAAAGATTTGAGCTGATGGTGGCCCAACACTTGGAGCAGCCCACGTCGCTTCACTTGTTCACTTCACGTGTTCGTCAAAATACGTAAGTTAAGTTAATTCTAAGTTTATGTAAGTTACGTAGTGTACGTGTAAAGGTACGCTACGGCATTGTTTCCCAGAGACCGGGTTGCGACCCTCAGGTGGGTCGCAAGAGTTTTTTTTGGGTTTTTTTTGGGTCGTCTCGCATCATGTTTCCGAGGAGTTTACCAACAATGTCTATTGACTTGGGTTGTGAAGGTTTGTGATTTTTAAAATATTGGTCCCCAGAAAACAAGTTTGGGAAACACTGGTGTAGGGTCACATATATTTGGCCTGGGCCGCATGTGCTAATAATTTGCCGACATCTGCATTCTGTCTGGAAACATCTGGTTTTGACCGTTCCAAGAGTGACTTTTTCAGGACTTTTTGTAACTTTTTCAGGACTTTTTGTTTTATCCATTAATCTTTTTTTTTAGTTTTTTTTTTTTTTTTTTTGCATAGCAGTTTCATCTCCAACACTCTTTGCCTATTATACCTACCGTCTGTTTTCAGCACCAGCTCAGTCTTTTTAAAGTCAGAATTAATTCCTAGTCATTCTACATTCCACTGACATTCCGCCCAAAGAGATTTTTATTATATTGATGCTTGAACTTGACCGTCTACCTCTCCAAACACAGGCAACATCTCCATAGACACTGAATAACTTCTGTGTCTTTTTTACCAAATCACACAATTCCACTGTGTGTCATCTTTTTCCAGACTGTCCAGCACGGACCTCTGGACAGTCTGGTTCAGAGATGTTTCCTTTAGACTGTAAGCTCAGTGTCAGACCTTTTAGCGACTGCCATGTTTACACTTCTCTGTGTCCAGACTGTCTAAGTACTTTATTAATATTATTATTTCCGTCTTGTTGTTCTCTTGCTTGTGTAAGAGGCACTTCAGAAAGAATACCATTCTAAAAAAATCCTTCCCTTGAAATAAAAAATGTATAAAAAAAGATGCTTTTGGGCCATAACATTAATACAAATATGTAATAATAGCAGATATTGAACTCTCCTGAATGTCTGGCTCCAGCAGCAGACAATTTTTTTTTTTTTTTTTGCTCTTCGGTCACATATATTTGGTCTGGTCCACACATCCTAATATTTTGCCACTAGTGGCTGACATCTGCATTCTGTCTGGACACATTTTTTTCATCAGTTTTGACCGTTCCAAAGAGTGACTTTTTCTCGAGTTTTTGTTACATCCATTGATCATTTCTGTGTTCTTATCTTGCAGTTTCATCTCCAATACTCTTTGTCTATTACATTGTTTCCCAAAGACTGGTTGGCGACCCTCAGGTGGGTCACAAAAACATTTTTTTGGGTCGTCTCGCATGATTTTTCTCAGGAGTTTACAAATAATGTCTATTGACTTTGGTCCAAATGTGCTAATATTTTGCCACTAGTAGCCGACATCTGCATTCTGTCTGGACACATCTTGTTTTGACCGTTCTCAGTGACTTTTATGATTTTTCCAGGACTTTTTGTTTCATCTATTGATCTTTTTTTGTGGTTGTTTGTTTTTTCTTTTTTGTCTCGCAGTTTCATCTCAAACACTCTTTGCCTATTATACCTACTGTCTGTTTTCAGAACCATCTCAACCTTCTCAGTCTTTTTTAATCAAGATTAATTTCTGGTCATTCTACATTCCGCTGCTATTAAGCCCAAAGAGATTTTTTGCTCTTTTTGTTTACACTTCTCGGTGTCCAGACTGTCTAAGTACTCAATTAATATTGTTATTTTCGTCTTGTTGTTCTCTTGCTTGTGTAAGAAGCACTTGGCGAATACTTCAGAAAGAATACCATTCTAATAATTCTTCCATTGAAATAAAAATTTATAAAAGTTTTTTTAAATGCTTTAGGGGCATAAAAATAATACAAATATGTAATAATGTAATGCTGTACCCTGAGTTCCGCTGAAGAGGTCGCGCGAGGACTTCAGAAGGAGCTCAGCCTGTACGTCAGTGTGCATGTGTGTGTTTCATGGAGTGAAACGCAACACCCCCCTTGTCTATCTGAAGCCTCTTCGGAAACAGGTTTGATTGTATTTAAAAGCTTGCACCGGGAGAGAAAATCCAAACAACTGTCTGTTCTAATATTAGCAGTGCGGCTGCGGACTACTATGAATTCTATTATTGTCTGGACTGGGGCGTGTTCCAAAAGGCCACTCTCATGTTGACGTATTTACAGTTGGTGGGGAGAAAGAAATGGACATCTCTTCAATTTTTAATGATATAATCAGGGTCAGCGGATTTGTTTGTTAGTTATGTTCCTAATGAAAGTTTTTGTCAAAATAAAATAAACGTTATTATTATCCTTTATTATTAATGTAAAAATAGTATTAATATTAATGTAAATTATTATTATTGTTATTATTACTATTGGTGATTAAAGGATTATTATTAATAATGACCTAAGTCGTCCGTAATACTGCGCTCTGCGCCAAAATAAA